CTACTGGTGGCCTATTCCTTTTATGAAATAATGATTTGGCAGTGAGAAACATAACAATGGCTATCACACCAAAGAAAGAACATTGTTGCTTCCCTTCTAAAAACTAGTGCCAGAAGAGACAGCGTTTTCTATAAAGATCCTACTTATATGCAAAACCACCTCTCTACATGACCAGGACAACTTGGGCAAAGGAACTGCTGTTGAAAATGGAAAACTATCCTCATAATTTACTATAGAAAGGCAATGGGTCCAGTCACTTTGTATTCTTAGATTTCCAAACTATTTAATAATGCAATCTGTTCTTAATAAAAAAAAGTGACAGTGTTGCCGATTTGTCAGATCTCCTGAGACAGCTGTTTGTAGAACGCTTCTTCTCAAAAGAAAAGATGAAAAATACAAGAATAGAGTTTGTCCATAATGCTCTTCCCATTAAGTATCCTATTTATTCAAATTTTAAGTATTTGACACACAGGATATAATTGCAATTATGACAACATATAAAATTCAAAAATGACAAGGCTGCTTTTCATTATTGCTTTTTGCGTGACTTCCATGTGTCAGTAATGAATGCAGCATGATATTTACTATAGCAAATGATATTTACTACAGCAAATGATGCAAAGATATTTTAAAGAAGCAATTTAAGCAGGAATCTTTGGTGGCAGCACCTAGCTAGCCACAAAATCTGTATGTTATAGACAAGTATAAATTTTCTATACAGCAGTCTGAAGATCCCAAGACTGACGAATTCTCACCCTTATACTACATTTGCTGCATAAACTGATTAATTTTATGCATTGTTCATGTGGTACATGAGTGGAGGAGGGCAAGGGAGAAGATGTCACAGAGGAAATGAGAAGCTGAAAAATGCCATGTACTTGTCCACAAACAGGGAGGCTAACAAACTTGCAAGGCCCCTGGACAATGGTCAGGGAGGGTACCGGTTCTGTACTCCTAGAAGGGGCAGGGCTTTGGGCAGAAGGGGTGAGGGCTGGGGTATCCAACCCTCAGCACCACACTGTAGTTATGTCCCCTCCCTCAGCCAGCCCTCAGCAAAAATAAAAGACTTCCAAAATATATTTTTATTTCTGGATTTTTAAAGTACATTTTAACATTTAAATGCACTTGAAAGACAATAAGAATGATAAAAGAAGGGATTTCTGAGTATGACAATGCTTAGCAAGTGAAACAAGGAAAGACATTAGAAACTGAATATTCAGCCAGCTGATAATGTTAGCTTCCGATAGCTTGGGCTTCCCAACCTTTGTCCTCTATGCTCTCCAAATCTCAGAGAAGATAGCCAGTCTCTGATAAAGGGCCAATTTCTCTTAGGTTTTGAAAGCAGAACTCCAGTTCAGATTGTGGAGTTTTATGCACAAATTGGCAAAAAAAAAATCAGGTCTTTACATAATAGAAACCTCTTGTCTGATGAAGTACTGACACTGGAATACTCCAGAGGGGTGGATGACGCATATCCCAATGATTGGAATTGGGTAGCAGTCAAGCAAGATAGATTTGGTATTCTACAAGCCAAAATAAAGCATGACATTTCTCTTTGACTTTTTATTTTCCTTGTTATAACAATTTTAAAAGGGCCTTCAAAAAATTGAAGTGATGTTGAGGGAAAACAGAGTGGTCTTGAGTCAGCAGATGAAATGCTAAAGTAGCTACAAAATGAACTCTGACTGAGCCTACTGCAATACCCTCCAGCTTCAAGTGCAGGAGATAGTCATGTATTAACTGGAGAGGAGCATCAGTCGTGGTGATCTTCCTTTGCACAGCCTAGGCTGAAAATCAGAACCATTTAGCCAGTCACTGACCTGGCCATCTTGGCCACTCCATCATGCAGTGGCAAAGCCACTCTGACTGACATTGCCTGGATCAGTACCCCAAAGACAGAATCTGAGGTCTCCCACACCTCTTCCACCTGGAGGTCCAGGTTGGTAGTGACCCTTTTCAAAAGGTCCTAGTGGGCCTTCATCTCATCAAGCAGGACCCCCACCCAGGGTACCACTATCGCCTCATCTGATGATGAGAAAAACGAAGCTTAGTCCAACTGGTTCTCTTTCCCCCATGCCAGCTGGTCACCCATTGTTTCCTCCATCTGAGGAGTGAGCATCCTGGCCACTTTCTGTGTATGTTCATGGCTAGCTGAGGGTACTGAAGGAGCCTCCAACACTCCGGCCAGTGAGTGGGTAACCTGAGGCTGCACTCGAAAGCCCCATGGAATCCATGAGCACCACTGTGCCTGAAGCCACAAGGTGCCTTGTTAAGCCACCTGCAGCACTGGTTGAGGAATCACTGATGCAATGTAGATGGCTGCACTGGGGACAGGGAGACAGGGTCTGACACAGCACTAGCAGAGAGAACGCTGATTGACACCCAGGAAGGGGATCGTGCACTGTACTCTCTCCGGTACCGACAACCTGTGACCAATGGTGATGTTGGTGACTGAGAGAAGTGACTAGACCAGCATCCCGGAGACTACAATGATCCTGGAACTTCCTTCTGATTAGTAATGACTGGTGTCGAGAAGTGACTGCTGATGCCATGATGTTGAGTGGGACCGATAGGCTGTGTTATGTTACCTTGTGTAACTCTGTGCTGGTGAGTATTGGTGGCATGGAGAGCAGTACCATGGATGTGGAGAAATGTCCCTAGAGTGGAGAGATGCATATGGGAAGCGACTCTCCCTATAGTGCTGCTGTTGCCAGGGGGCTGTTCTCCAACTCCAGTGACACTTGAGGCATAGCATCCTGCCCCAGTCTCTCTCTCACGGACTGCATGAGACTACAAAGAGCTCTCCTCTCCAACTGAGCGGGAAAGTGAGACCAAGTGTGCTCAGCAACCAAGGGGCAAATGGTGGCTTCCCTTTATGAAGGCACCCAACTGGTGCCAGAGAAGGTGGCATCAGCATGGTTAAAAATGTCTTGTGTCTGAAAAGTCTCCAGAGTTGAAGGCACTTGAACCTCCAGAGTGGGCAATGGGGAGTGGGTAGGACTACCCTGGGCAGCCTGCATAAGGGTTTTCTCCAGCACCCCAGTCTCCCACCTGATCCCCTTTCTTGGCCTAAGCCTTTCACAGGCTTGTCCCTGATTGACTTTTTCAGCCTCTTAGTCAAAGCCAGTAACAATGACCAATGCCAGGCTGTGGGAGCACTCCACACCGATGCACTGATACTCGGTACCAAGTCCGAGTGCTGTTCCGGGGCAGTGAGGGTAGACTCCATGAGTAAAGCTTTTAAGTTTATAACTCTATCTTTTATTGTCCTTGGGCCAAAGGACCTGCAAATTCTACACCTATTCGAAACATTCACTTCTTCTAGGGAGCGAAGGCAGTCAGCAGGTGGATAACTGACTGGCATAATCCTGTGGCAAGTGGCACAGGCATTAAAGCCAGAGAAGCAGGCATGCCCCGTCCCCATACCGAATCCCAACGGGGACTAACAAACTGTTAATCTACACCTATTCACAAGTACTTATCTAAGGAGGAAAAAATTAAAAAACGAGTGATCCTGTAGCACCTTAGAGACTAACAAAAATATATGTGTAGTATCATGAGTTTTCGTGAATACAATCCACTTCCTCAGATGAGTGGAGCAAAAGGCACAGAAACCCCAACATTTAAGTTACAGATTAACACAGCTATCCCTGTGGGACTTTAAAACATGCAAGGCACTGCATTCAGCTCTATGGAATGGAAATCCATCAACTGCACGAGGAAACTCACACAGCCTTTCCTCCATTCATCTGAAGAAGTAGGTTATGCTCACAAAAGCTCATGATACTATAAATATTTTTGTTAGTCTCTTCGGTGCTACAGGACCACTCATTTTTTAATTACAGACTAACATGGCTACCTCTCTGAGACTTATCTAAGGGGGACTCTATGCACAAGTGAATAGGGATAGTTAACTAAGCTACATCTAAGGCAGGAGCACACTGTTCCAAGCACTGTCACTGATGGCAAGAAGGAACTAAGATGGGAGGGGCTGGGAGTGTGCTATATAGCGCGGCATGTGCGCCTCGTACCAGGGAACGCTGAGCCAGTCACCTTTGTCAGGGTGGGGAACCTTTTTTTTTGAGTTGGGAGCCACTGACCCACAGAAAAATCAGTCAGAGGCTGCACACAAGTAAAAAGCACAAAAAAAAACCCACAAAAAAAACAAAAAAAAGTTACTTGATGTGGCCCCTGACTGAGAAGGAAAAAGACACTCCCCACATTCTCCTTCCACACCAGAGCTTAGGGGGACCCAGCCTAATAGATTTTGTGTGCTTTAGCTCTGCACTGGGGCAGACGAGCTAGAACAGGCTCCCCAGTGCTGAGGGTGGCCCTGAGCCTTGAGGGCTGGATCCAGGCAAGCCAGGGGTGACATCCAGCCCCAGGGCCTGAGGTTCCCCGCCCCTGCCCTAGGGGTACTGTTTAAGGAAAATATTCCAGCACCAGTGCCTGTGGAGAACACACATACCTATGTTGAATGGACATGAACAAGCACTGGAAGAAGTTGTAATTTTAGCAGGGACTGAGAGAAAGATGCAAACAGCACTTGAGAAGAAGATGAAACAAGTTGGTTTTGAGGGAGTAGTAGAATGAAATCCTGGCCTCTTTGAAATCTAGGGCAAAATTCTCATATCTTCAGTGATGCCAAGATTTTGTTGATGGTGACAAGAGGGATGTTGTTCCAAACATAAGGAGCAACATGAAAGGGGGAATTAAAACGAGAATGGGATGAACAAATAAAGGGAGCACCACAAGAATGTGCGAGGAGTAGTTGAGGCAACAATTGATAGAGTGGGCAGAACCTAAGAATGAGGAGTTTGAATTGCATGTGGCAAAAGAAGTGGTGGTGAACACACATGGCATGAAAGTAACACAGCACTATAATGACTTTGATTACTTTCATAATTATTATTTTTCCCCTTTTTTTACATGCACAGGCAGTCAACATTCAGGGCTAAAAGTTAAAAATAAATTGACCATCATTAAAATCTGTTTCTTACTTGCCATCAACGAGAACTTCAACCTGTCGATTGTTCACCTGGTTATCACTCTTATGGCGAAACTGCAATATTAATCAGCAAAAAATACTAGTTAGTTTTTTGTTATCAACAGTGAATATAAGGACCTGATAAAACAAAAAATTTACGTATACAGATAACTTTAAGCAAGCCATCTCCATGTGTGAAATACATTGACTTCATGGGAGCAGAATGTCACATATTGACTTTACATAGTTTTCAAGACACAAAAAATACTTTAATAAACACTTTAGAGTTTACCATTTAAAAAACATAGTATTCATTTGCCCCACAATAATTTAGTTAACACATGCAATATTCTAAGAATTTAATATAACTGGGGGCTGCTATGCTGGAGAACTCCACAAATACATTGACTTCATGGGAGCAGAATGTCACATATTGACTTTACATAGTTTTCAAGACACAAAAAATACTTTAATAAACACTTTAGAGTTTACCATTTAAAAAACATAGTATTCATTTGCCCCACAATAATTTAGTTAACACATGCAATATTCTAAGAATTTAATATAACTGGGGGCTGCTATGCTGGAGAACTCCACCTTCTG